AAACTGAGGAGATGGTCCCTCGAATCACCTTGAAGTATAAAAAGAAAAACGAGAAAAGGCCTTTACATAAAAATATTCTTCAGGACCTTCACAAGCTGTCAAACGTCGTTGACTTCGAGGCCGTATGAGCATGAGATTGAAAAGAAATGAATGGTTCTCATGGGCATGATGGGTTACTGAGATGTGTGCGTATGCATATATGTGAGTGTGTAAGAAAAACCAAAGGACATTCGTCGGCCCTCCCTCTACCTCGGCTGAGGTCACCAGACGTCGTCATCGCCGTCGTCGTCTTGCTGTTTGCCTATCATCAAAAACGAGCCAGCCAGCACGATCCTATCGCCCCACTGCAATTTTCCCATCTCAACTCAGCCATTTCCTGCAAACGGGCAGCCAGTAAAAAAAGTAAATGCGGTTCAGAAATGAGATAGCTGGTTGCATAGGAACCATACATATCGATTGTTAGCTTGAAATTTGCGATTGCATGGCTTACACGACACCTTGGCCTTTCGCTAGATCTGCCTACCATCTGGACCACCCGGAATAACAACCTACTCGATGATTGTGCCTGGGTGGTCGGATTTCAGTTGGAAAAAGCCCTGAGAACATTCGCTGTTGTGAGGGGTTGAAGAAAATCAGTTGATCACGCAACTGACATTACACTATTTACAAGTAAGAGCTCTTCAGATTTCCTCGCAGTCAATTCAACAATCGTCAGCCCTACTGATAGGTGTTGTTTACTAGCCAGTAACTTCTTTTTTACTTATTCCTCTTGTAATCAAGCTATTCCAACCAATGATAGCATACATTTCCTTGCAAAAGTGCAAATGCAGAGTGGAATTAGTTTCTGCTGGGTTCGGACATAAATTCGTTCCCATTTTCGGTATTCACTACTTTATTTATGCCAGACCAGGTATTATTCATTGGAAATATCTCTGAAAGGTAGCTGAGAATCATAACTCATGTAGAAGTAGTTCTGGTTAGTAGTAAAAGAGTTATGAACCCACAAGGGCCGCTCGAGCTGATTCCATTTGTCAGAGCTCGCTCTGAAAGCCCGGAAGCGAGGCCCCCCAATCTCTCCGCTTGGCCCCGAATCACTTTCATTCCCAGAAAGCTCTGAATATGTGACGAGACGTTAGTTATTTATGTGAAACGAGAAGAGTAGACATAATGTGCGCAGAGCGCGAACAAGCCAATGAGCCAGTAAGGGTGCCGCCGTTGGAGCGGCAGCATCTGGACCAACTCCGCTTCAGAGGAGTCTGTAGGAGGGCTCCGTTTCATAGTACGGCGGTTGAAGTAACTTACATAACAATGAGAAATGGAATCGAAAGAAATGAAAGGATTTCTATGAAATTCCCGCTTCAGACGGGAGAGCTTGAGGCCTAGCGGTCAGCACGGTCATTGAATCGATACTCGGCCGCAGGGCATGGAGCTCATGGAGAATGTCGTGTGTTGACTGCTCTGTGTGTGTCCTCCCGTCCTCACATTCCCCTCAACCAATGAAATCCTGAAAGAACTGGTTTCTTTGATCAGTTACAGTTTTCCCGACCACCCCGATCTTGCCCTGGTATTGTTCATCATCGTATTGCCGAGCAATTCACTTTTTTTCACACGTTTTTACGATTGTGCAGCAGCGATTGTGCGAAAGGAGGCCCTTTATGAGACAGAGAGTGCATCCTAAGACTGCTGAATCGTCTCCACTTCCACTTCTCCTGTTCTAACTGCCCTGGTAGCATTTTTGTCATGGAAACGGCCTCATGTAGTATTCACTAATCTATTGACATCCTTATGCATATCCTAGTCCGTCAGCACTACACTACACTAGCAAACAAGCAATCTCCAACTGAGCGAACATATGCTTCCCCACCTAGACAACACCCCACATGATGACTGAACACACCAATGAGCAAAGATCAGCTCCCTTCCGGCTTTGTGGGTTTTCCTGCACCTTCGCCGATCACTCGTGACTACCTGAGACCACCCTGAACTTTCATCTTCATCCAACAGCATCTTTTTCTCACCTCCTCGAAATCTCATTACTTTCTATCATACTTGTATCACCTAATCTATGGAACCCAAGCACATTTCTCTGATCAGTTCCTCTGTGAAAGTCCTCTTTCCACGTCCATTATTGGGAACCTAAAGTAGAATCGTAAAGGCCCGTCAAAAAATCTGTTCAAACTTTCTGCTAACTGTTCATTTTGCAGTATTGACTCAGCATGTACTGGATATGTTACTTTTAATAAATCTAGGCATGGCGTAGAGATCTTCCAAATACGTTTGTGAAGCCTTAACCATGATGCTCTACCTCAGAAATAAATTTTAAGTATCTTCGGCGTCTAGGCTCTTACGAAGGCAGTTAGGCTGAAACATTAGCCGTATCAAACTTTATAATCGTGATCTAAGCTTTATAATCACCTGAGACGTCGGCACGTATTACCTACTTCTTCAATCATTCTGAAAGTAGTCAGTCATGAAATGACATGCAACGGAAATTCATGTTGCGGGGCTTAGCTTGGAATCTCCTGCCACTTGCGAATGACACGTGATTGGTCAATGGTAGCGATAACCAATCACAAGTTCTCTTCGCTGCAACCCAAGCCACCATTGGCTGGCCTCAATCTTTTCCATTTTTGTTATTCTTTTCACTATCATTCGTCAATGAAGCATCTCCCATTTTCTCTAAGCAGGCAGCTTGACATCTCTACGAACTCCGCGATGGAAACTGTAGGCCTCCTACTCGAAACCACCTTCCGAGACATGTCTTGTTCACTTTGCATCACCTCGGTAATAACTGGATGAAATGGCTTCATCATTCACCATAACATGAATTTTCATGAGCAATTCAACAGAAAAAACTACTACAGTAAGTTTGAACCCCCGCCCTCAATTTTCAAGATAATTTACTCTATAACAATGTGTCGTTCTAATTGAAAGTGGCCTGAAAATTAGAGGCTTTAGGCGTTTGCTGCAATTACTTTGCAGAATTGCTAAGGTTCTTACAACTTCTGCTGAAAATACCTTTGAGCTTCGTCCCTTTTGCTTCCGAGCCTCTCCATGAACCCTATTTCAGGGAATTTTTCTCAGGGATTAGCGAAGATTTCAGGCTCGCATGCTTCTCCCAACTAAGAACCCAATACTTGTTGATACTGTGCTATGAGAACGCGCTGGATTCCAAGTTAGACCACAAAGGACAAGGATGGAAGGGCTTCAATCACCAGAGTAGCTTAGATGTCTATTAATGTTAAGAAGCCAACGAATGAAGCAGTTAGAAGAAGCCCGAGTACTGGGAAACATTCTACAGCAAGCCATATGAACCCGTTGTGTAAGGTGCTCTGGGTGAACGGCATCAGCTGGGACCTTCTTATCTGAGAAATCATCTAAATTTTCGTAATACATAGCAGAAAGGAATAAGCCGTAGCCCCATCTCGTCCTTGTAAGCCCTCAGTCCGGTTGCATGATAGCGTTAGAGGCAAAAGATGCTAGGCCGAAGGAACCATTTGAAATGGAATGAGCTCATCTAGCACTTCTGATGACTGGCTTCAAATCTCTCTTCCACACCTGCTCCTCTCTTCGCTAAGAGCTAATTACAGAGGTTCCCCATGAGAACGTTCTCAGGTTGAATGGGCACGCCTGACACAAGACAGGATTGGATGGGCTTCCAGCCCTTAATGAGTAGATGTCGGCCTTCTGCCTTTTTTCTGCGATCTACAAGGATCGGGCTCGTAGTGGGTGGTCGTTTCCCACCTTTCTACAAGCCACTGTACCGACTGTAATTTCAAATGAAAGTCGAGCATGTAGCTCATCCACGAGATTCTACTAATGGCCACGTCGTCCTTTTTTTAGCCGTTAATCCTATCAACAACCAGAAAGCCCCTTGAACTTTGGGGATTCTCTAGGGAAAAATGAGCTGAGGAAAGATTCAACAGTCTCTTCAACAGGAGCCCTCCCGCTGTAATATCACTTTTCGACTGAAACATTTTCGAATCCTCTCCTTTTCGAGATGGTTCGATGGCCAGAAACTGAGAAGCAAGCCTGCACTCTACGTCCCTCGCAAAAGGCCCGAGGGANGTCATGGATGTTGTGTCCTATTTCTACTGCTTAATTGTAAACTGGGAGGCTTACTCTTTGATTGCTAGGCCAGAAATGATACGCCGTGCGCCTACTAACGATTGTGTTTAGTAATGAACTTTTTGCCGTTCCTTCATTGAAAACACATCATCATCGTCAACACCTACTGTATGTACTCAAACAGTTTTTGCAGTGGATTATGCCGTTTTATTTGCAATTTTGCATTGCATCTTGCAAACTGCACTTTTTTGAGCTACGTAGCTCCAGGAAATGACAAAGACGTACGTTGTATAGCGATGCGCGCTCCCGATGCACAACCGTGCGTCGGGCGCGCCGAAACATTTCTAAATTGATTTTGACCGTTGTCATTTTACACGATGATCCATGATAGCCTGGCATTTTCCCCGGCATTCCGTTTCTTGGCATTTTGCCGGTCAAAGCGCTATGCACCCGATGATCCCGTTCCATAAAGTGCAGAGTGTTTCAGTGTAAGCAAAGTGCAGCCAGATTAGGAAAGGATAAGAGATAAGGCTAAATCGTTCCTAAAACAATAAGGTTATCCCCTTGAAAAAAACTTTGCAGAAGGTATTTGCTGTGAGTGGTTAGGTTCCAACATCCTTGATTTGGCCTAGGGACTTTCATAGACGCAGCCAGCCATCAGTTGTAGGCTACTCGTGTTGTTTCCCGAATTGGGTCTATTCTCGCCGTACAACAATCTACCCTAACAGCGTCGAAGTGGGGTAGGGGTCCAGTAAAGGACTTGAGTACAAGCAGTCCGTAGGCCCGCATAAGGGGACCAAGAGAGCAAGAGAGCTGAGAAACCCTCGACGAGTTTTATGGCGTGCTTTATTTGAAAATGACGGTTCGCCAAGTATTTCCTAGTCTTTCCTCGCCGACATGGTTTTTTAACCTTTTAAACGTCAATACGGGCCATGTTGGTTGGGTATGGGTGGTGAGTCAACCACTATAACTATTAATCCCAACATCGGCTCCCCTCCCATTGCATTTCTCCTCCTCCCCGCTCCCCAGGCGCTCCTATTTCAGACTTGACAGATAAGGAATTACCCTTGTTTAGACGGGTTTCAGTGTAGCTTGTTGCCCTGCTGCTTTCATCTCATTAAATTATCGAATCCCCTTGAATGTGCTCGTCACATTTTGTAGCTCCTATTCATTCTAGTCGCCCCTCGTGTTCATTACTATTACACCGTCTCCCGTTTCCAGGCGCAAGTTATCATTAAACGCGCTCAACACCTAGGAATAATTGATTCGTACAGCAAGGCGTCAAGTTTCGTCACAGGACCCTTCGTGCTTTAATGGGCGAGATAATTTGTGGTATATATGAGCTGAATTTCATTCATTCATCTTCCTGAAAACCACTCATCTAACCCTCCGGCCCTATGTTCCAACTCAACAATCGATATGCTCCTACCCCCATATACCTCTGCCTTATTTCTTCCTCGTTAACCAATTTACACAATTATCGATTAGTGTTGCACGGGCATGCAAGCTCACGGTTCGATCCGCGCATCCCCAATTGCACGTTTGGGGTGTACGTATATGTGTGAGAATGGTATTTGTCGACGGTCGTTCATGGTTTGACTCTTTTTCTTCTGATTCGATAATCTATCGATTTTTGCAGGTGATGGACCGTCGTCCTTCGGATTTCCCGCTATTGCGTAGCAGTCCACATCCAGAATTCGAACCATCAGCGCCTAGGCGAGTCAAAATTCATCATTTGCAGGACGAAGTCGTTTTTTGTAGGGGGCGCGTATGTGTGTGTGTGTTTCGTTTCGTTTCGCTGCAGGATCAACGCGCGCAAGTCATGACTGTGTCCCATTTGCTTTCACCTTTTAGCTGATATAATTCTTCACGTTGGTTCCCCCTTTTCCACTTAAATCATCGAACTCTCGGCATGTTTTTCATGTTTGTAATGATTCACGTTCGTTTCTCAAAGACGGCGCAAGCCCAAAAGGCGTTGTATAGGCAGCACGCTTGGTCAGCCCATCGGTTAGAGCCCAGGCTGTAAACGTTAACATAAGTGCGCTCGTTCTATCAGATGTTTACCTCTGTGCATGGTTTTCAATTCAAAGTAGTCCTTTGTAACCGAGGAGACCCCTTTGTTATGGCATAAATTCATTTAAAATGAGAATAAGTACCCATTTTATATAGGGCTGCAAAAATCTCTGTAGCTCCATTTTATAATCTGTTTTTAGCCCGGAATCAGTGGCTGCATCACCGATGCTCATCTCTTCTCGAACATCGGAATGTGGTGATCCCCCTATAGAGAGTGATGAGGTACCGTTTCCAGTTTTTCTTGGTTTTACCTTTGTTAAAATTCTTGCTTCACACACGTTTTTTTTTTCTCAACTTGATTTTCTAGCATCGTGAACTCTCGTGATTGGTAGGGGCACTTTCACCCATGAGTAAGTGGTATACATAATGTGTACATATTGAACGTACTTGGATGGCATGTGACCCTCGTTAGTTCACTCTCAACTGGTAATGAACGTACTGGGAAACACTATCAAATGGCTCATTAAGGGTTAGTTTCTTCGTATCTCTCAGAAGATTCGTCGCCTAACCAAAAATTCGTAGTACAACATGTTTTAGACTTTGTTATCGACTTTTATTCTTCCGAATATACAGTTGTTTTGCTGATCAGATATCTATGAGGTAAGGGCCGTGGCTACCCCATTGTAACCTCGTCTAACCGGGCTTCATAATTGACACAAGATTAGCTAATTTCTTGGGGATTATATAAGGATTTCCATAATAGTCAGTGTTTTGGATGTAGATTTCTATTGCATATTGAATAATTGCTGCATGTGGTGGGTAAATACCCATGATAAACGCATAATTAACTAACTAGTACCTTATTCACACCGAGTATTGCTTGTAATTTATAGTTTGTTGGTGTGTAAGCCTACTCATTGTAATTTCTAGAGCGTTTTTTAAAAATTAATCAGTCTCCTCGATAAACGGGAAATCCTGCTGCCCTTTTACCGCGCCTTTAACTTTTCTCTAGTCCACTACATATTTTTTTTATAATCTTTTTTTGCAAATGGTCCCCTTGATCCGTGGGTATTTTATTTGAAGAAGCTTACGATTTTTGGTTTTGCGACGAATACCCTTTGAAAGCTGTCAACTTTGCGGGCATAGTTTTTCTCTAACGACTTTTTCCCTTCTCTAACGAACCAATNCTCGGTTCTTACGACTCTGACTACAACGGGGCTCGTTTCTTTTTTACTCGTATGGAATCCATTGTTTTAGACGTTCTTATACGTTCTTCATCTTCCTTGAGCATTATAGTACTGACCGCCGGCGGAATTTGCCATGATCAGTCAATATGGTCGTAACCCGACCAAGCTCGAGTTCTCGGATTTCTATGGAATACGAGACATTTTATTAGATGTGCCACTGTTCGAGGTCATCGCTATCTAGATTCCTCGACGAATCTAAAAAAACCACCTGTCTCGCGTCATGACCACTTGAATCTGCAATTGAGCATTGCGATGGCGGGTGCTCGCGTCTAATAGCACACCCCGTCGGTAACCGATCAGTGAGTCCGCACGGGACCTAGCAATTATCGATTGGAACCGTGTAATGTCGCTAGTGGATGTATGCAAAATAAAGAAAAAGGGACATGGATAGTGTTGGATTTGTTTGACAACGGCCTGTTCTCTCGATCACATGTTTTCAGCGAAAGAGAGGAGAGGGAGAGAGGCGTTCTACTGCATCGCTCTTGTGCTCCACATTCACCTCTCCCTATTATCACTCACTAACTCCGTCATCACAAATCACTCGTGATGCTATTGTGTGTGATTCATTTAGGGATACGGTATATCGGATAGCGGTGAAACAAGCCGACGTTCGACTATTAGCAGGATGGATATGGTGGAGCTAAGCCGTGACTTGGAGGTGAAAAACAAGTATCCTGAACTGTATCAAATGATCGTTGTGAGTCATGTCATCATCGATTTATGCTCATCTTTTTTTTCTTTTCATATTCAATCGTCGTCCTTTTATGCGTCTGCACTGATTTCACTTTCAAATAGGCACAGCGGCGTTTTGGCTCGACGGAGAATCGTGATGCTCCCATTGTCGTTCACAATGCGAATCGAGACTCCTCCAAAGATGACGATTCTAAGCAGTTACTGTATGGGGAAGCGGTTGAGCTGCTAAAACGTTGCCGTAAACAAGAGGTGCAGCTAATATTTATCACATATGCATATTCAGCTTTTTGCTTGGAATAAATAATGGTAAAAGTAAAAATACGTACGTTTCTAGCGTCAACTGCGTGAAATGCAGAAGAGTTATGACAATTTGCTTAGCGTTAATAAGCAAATTAAAGAAACTTATGTGAAAATCTATGCCAAAGCTGAACAAGAGGAGGAGTATATTTCGAATATTTTACTGAAAAGGTTCGTTCCCCTCATTTTTCCCATTTGTTTTTTCACTTTAAAATAATAGACTACTTGTTTTTTCGATCCAAATTGTATCCAAAACCTTGCTGTAGTCTATAATACTTTCGTGAACGGGTAGAGCCTGATGATGCCAATGGTCTCGTGGAAGATCGATGATTCTAAGTGCACATCCCTCATTCAGCTTGTGACGGAAAGGAAAAAAATACGCCTTTAAGTTTTCAGTACAAGTGATGTTTGAGGACAAATGGTGTTTGGCTTATGAAATAATGGAAGCGGAGGGAGGGATAAAATATATATAAGAGGTTCACGTCAAATACCATAACTTGAGATTGCCTTTATTTCTTTTACACTATTATGTCGTACTTTTCTTCGAGTTATCGATTTCTCATCGTTAATTGTGAATGGTTTTCCAACTTCTTGTTATTCTAACCGTTAAATGTCAGCGTGCAATTAGACTGTGCAATAAGGCTTGAATAAGATGGGATAGCTAGTCATATTGAAGAAATATATTTCTAACGACGCTGTATGTTTTTTCAACTGGTAAAGCGAATTCTGGTTAATGTTCATTTCGTCGTCAGAAAGGTAGAGGCATAAGTTACCGAAACTTCCCAAATGCACTTTGCTCCTTTTATGATGTTTTGCTCATCAATTAACGGAGCTGTGAAGACCTCGTCCCCGACCTGAAGAGAATAACAACTGATACTTACAATCTCCATTGAAATCGGAGGTTTCTGTTACATCCCGCTGGAGTTCATTGTGAACGTTATGCAGGTCTCCTATTAGGATTTTCCTTTTAAAAGTTCTATTGAATAGCGAAGTAGAGAATTTCTTCAGCTAGCTACGTTAGAGAAATTTTTGCTCCCATATAATAAGCTATGATATAAACCTCTTAATCGAAAGCAGGAATCGATCATTTCCCTTTGTGTGGCGTAAAATGGCGTCTTGCCTTAAACATGTTTACTTTCAGAATACAGAAATTGAAAAATGACAAGGAAACGTTGGCTCAGAAGTACGAACAGGAGGAAGAGTTTCTTACGAATGATTTGATGAGAAAAATCAAGCAGGTTTGTGATTTCAATCAAAGAGTTTGAGCCACATAATAGAAAATCTTTTTCAATTTGATCTTTTTCCTCATGAAAGGGCATAGCACGCCATGTAAACACTTTTTCTAGTTCTTGAAGCTATTTTTCTTTGCTAAAAATCTTTCGAGAAAAGCAAGGAACATTCAGAGGTTGAAAAGCTTGTGCCCTTTCTCAGGTACATGAACTCTTAGGCTTTTTACCTATCTTCCTTCTAAGTAGTACAGCTCCGGAATGTAATTCTGAAAAATTTGATCAATTACGTTTTTGAGGAATTTTACTTGTTTCTGAAGATGAAACATCTTCATAAAAGGATGCTTTGGCTTGAATACTTGATATAGTTTGTTGCATTGCAATGACCAAGAAACGTGGATGTAGTAGCCCCTTGGATGATATGAAGGAAATGGGGCAAATGATCAACCTTTCTGTTTTTTAGTTTCCATCCTTTTTGATCATGTGTTCCTGCAAAATGCTACTGGTAATCTTGTTTCGAACGTATCATTCAGTGGATTCCGTTTCAAAGATTTCATAGTAATCATACAGAATCGTCCACGATCAGGGGCTGCATTCAAGTCTGTATCCTCAACGTTGTCCCTGATTCTACCGATTTTCGGTGCCGTACAGGTTTGGTATCTGTCGTAGCGATTCAAAAATAGGCTTAGTGATTATCTGGATTAGCTGAACCCGTACCTAGTTATGCAGCTGCGAGATTTTTCGCTACTTCACAATTAGGCATCGGCATCAATCGTTCAATAAGAAATTCTAAGGCCAGGATACGTGCTAACTTGAGTTAATTATTGTTTTGCAAAAAAGCTAATCGATTGATCCTTGTTCCTGACACAAATGGAGGGCCGTAGCTGCTGCTTACTCCACAAGGTGTGAAGGGGCTAGAATACGTGTGACTTGAGCGCGCAAACGCGCAGCGGCCAGCCAGGCTGCGTTCGACCTGTTGTTGATTTTATACCTTCGACAATTGCTAATCTTCCGTTACACATGTGGAAGTAACTCTCAACTGTGAGAGTTCAGTCCCAGTAGTTTTCTTCTTTCCCATTTTACCACTCGCTACCACTCGTTATTACCACTCGCTATTTAACTACGATGTTGCGACAAGTCTCGAAACAGCAAAACTATGCAGTGGGCTCTAAGATTAACTACATAGCCTAAGTGTAGCCAATTCACTCGAAAACTAATGGTGTTGTTCAAATCGTTGTTGTTCCCATCACCTCACTCTCACAAAATTATTGCATCCGACAGGTGGTATATGTGATTTAACACCTTAGAGCATGTGTTCAAGCTCACATGGCTGTACAACTGTTTTCACATTGCCTTAGTTTTGTCGTTTAGAACAATTTTATGGGCTCAAAATATGTGTCTGACTTCTTTTTTTTTCTCCCTCCCGCCAGAAACTATACATAGCCCCCAAAGTTGCGTGCATACTAATTCTGAGAATCGCTCGAGTTAAAACGTTAAGTGTTTTCTTCATATTACAGTTGCAATCTGAACGTGATGTGCTGGAGGGAAACGTAAAAAGTGAACAAGCCAGTGTGATTGACAGCCTACTGACAACAATTCGTCGCATGGAAAGCGAAATGGCCGCAGGGCGAAAGGTTAGCAGCTTTTCGGGTTTTTTGTTTGGATCGGAGCTTTTTTTGTTGTTTTTTGGGCCCTTGTTTATTTTGCTATAAGTTCATCTCGTTCGCTTCAACATTTCGTTTCACTTTGTAATCTTTTCTAGAATATGGATCGTATGCGTAAAGAGAAAATTGATCAGGAAAATGCTCTTGAACACGAACAAGAGCTTCTGTTTAATACTCTGGGAAAACAAATGGATCAGCTGAATCAGGAAAAAAGGTCTGAGTCCTTCTCTATTGTCGGATATACCATAATTTCTTGTAGTCAGTATGAGATTTTTCTAATTGCCATGAATATTTAAGGAAGATGCAGGCGAGTCTCCAGAAGGCGTACCTGAACGGTTTTATTGAACCAGATGATGAGGTTGTTGGTTCTTTGGTCAACCAGAGGTGCGTTTTTTTTTTACGTTTCTTCATTACAAGCTTTACTGCTACTTGTTACGGATCGTCTTTGTTATAATGGTTATCCGATTTTCAACTTTCCGCTTTACAGCAGGATCCGCTTCCTGTTTTTTTTTTGAAGAGTTCTTTCTGTCTGCGCGGTAGGAGACTAGTACTCACTGCTACTTGCTTTCCATCTCAGGATTTTCCTGTTTTATTAGCTTACTCGACCAACATTCACTCAGCAGAAGCGAATGGCATAATATCATTTATGAAAGTAGTGAGTTTAGTTGCGCTAAGTAGGAGGACAATGCCATGGTTTTTTGGGAGGGGGCATTAACGATCATGTTTTGAACGCTGTGAGTGCTAGATAACTTTTTTCTTGTTCATCAAGTACTCTGTGATTTACAGTTTAAGGTGCAAAGTAATTCATCGCCAAGAAACCTGAATAGCGTACTTGGGTCGACTTGTGTTCTTTGAGCAAGGCGTAGGCAGTATGTGTTGCTTACTAGTTACGAGTGCATTTGTGGAATTGTAGACTCTCTTACGCGGAAATCATTTAACCGCTCAGAAAAAGCTGACAGCTACACAATAACGTTTCTGATTGCCAACTTTTGAATTTCACTTTAGTGGTCTCCTCGATGAAGTCGAGATTACTGCTTAGAGTTTATTCAATTCGTTATTCCTCAGTTTCATGT